ACTTTTAGAAAAACTCACAATTGTCGGAAAACGAAGGTGACGCAGCAATTTCGATTACGAAAGTAAACTTTACCAGGATTACTCAGAGGATATTACCGATTAAAATTCGCGTTGAAAAGTGCAATTAGGGTCGTTTGAAAATCGACCAAAAAATTTCTCAATATCCAAATTTTCTATTTACATAGAGATAAATGATTATGGATCCCGAATGGCTGCTTTTCAACCGCGTTTCGGCCAGACCGGCACGAGGCCCCAAGACTCGTGCCATATATTATAAATCGGTCTTTTTTTTCCCAAAGTTATTATGCTACGTTGTTGAACACGGTGATTGCTTCGGTGAAAGACGTTCCTCCTTTATTGATCGCGATGACGAAGGAAGGATACGCGATAATTAAATCGCTGCAGGGTTGGCAGAATATCCCTGTAAACTGCACTCGTCGATTGGCCAGGTCTCTTTGATTTATACCCAGTAAGCAGAAAAATGAAGCCTTGGACCGGTGGTTTCGCCATAAACGGGATTTCCCTCAAACTATTTACAGCGCGATTACGAGCAAACGATAGTGGCACGCATGATGGTGGCAGACAAAGTCTCTTAATTGGAGCAGAGTACCATCTAGATGTCTACCATCCTGTCTACTACAACGTTTAACTCTGATAGAGTGGCTCACTTGTCGTTCGAGTTATCAATGGAACCGAGTTAATTGCATTCGCGTTAAAAATGCATTATCATTGACATTAGCCAGGCCTCGAATCAATTAATTGGTCTTCATTAATCCCTAACTCCAGAGGGAGATTTCGATCGACAAACAACTCGATTAACTGGTTAACACAAATTCTTCGGCTCTATCCAAGACCTGACGCCTATCTTTTACGAGAAATACCTATTTTTCTGTTTCCCCAGCAAGGAGTTTCACTCGAAGGCCGGAATTAGAGAGCAGCAGATTACCTTCCGATACGCGAACACTGTCGATTTCTCAAATATCGTTTAACGAGGTATGATTGATCGATCATCGATATCGGGCCAAGACACGTTCGGTATAAATCGCGTACAAGGGATTTAATTACGGGACGAACGCGTGACAATTCGACGCGGGTACACCTGCTTATTAATTTACTCCGATTTTAAAACAGATCGAAGGAAATTTTTCTTTTCCTAGTAGATACTCACTCGGTGCGGTCTGGTCTGTCTGAGAGAAACTGCGGATCATTAATCAACGTCGTCCGTTGAAAATTTCGCGTTGCATCGATGCACTTGCTCGCAATCGTGTGCGTGTATCTGCAAGACATTTCATTTCAATTTATGGCCGAGAATTTAATAGATCGTGGCATCGACAACATTGTGAAATAATTTACCGCGACACAACAGACTCGTCGCTAATGCACAGTCGAACAGACAAGGCCGCCTCCGAGGATGGATTATTATAACGTCGTTGCGAGGCATGGTAATTTGAAACGATAAGGAATCTTTGGGAAAAAGAGAAATTTACTAACATTGTAGAACATTTCAAACTGTTGTAATTTCTCAAATGAAATTGCAGCGTTTATTAAAATGCGTAGGGAGCTATCCGTATACACTATTGTATAGCAACGAAATATAGGGATACATTTCATTGGCAAATATAAGAAATAAGAGATGTTTTATTCTAATATATATTTATCCCAAGCTAAATGAGACTTATTAGTAAAGTATAAACTAAAAGACTAGACTCTCACGTCAACTCTTCTTCAAGCTCCGTAAAGGACTATCCTAAGACAGTCCTTGCACTCCTATTTAACACTTTGCACTCGACGATTTTTTGGCTAGAGAAGGGTAGAAATTCAAAGATTCTCTACTAAAAAACTGACGATACTTTCTTGAGCAGTAAAATTGTGTAATAATAGAATTGTAGAATTATTTGACTTCGATACTTCGCACACTGTTACATTACATTAAATTTGATATATTAATTAATATCGATCTTGCAAATTTTATGCAATGGTAACTGAAGGTCTCCTCTCGAGTGCAAAGGGTTAAAAATCTACTCTCTCTACTCTTCTCTACGCATACTTTCTTTTTCTTCACTCGTCTCCCTCATGACCTGGTCCTCCGTGGGCCAGGTACTCCAAACACTCAGATGCATTCCTAACTTTCGCTCCTTGTTCGCACTCGATACACTCATAAATATCCCGTTTATACGATCCTTGCACGCGGTCACTCATCCTTCCACGTGCATTCCAGATGTCACCCTGAACATTCGGCCTGAACCCTAAGCTGTTGTTTATTGTCCATTATCAGCTAGGTAGACCCAAGTGTTCCCTTGCATTCATTCTCAGATCCTAGCATTTCTACATTAATATATAAAATTTATTATCAATGAAAGATACAAATATACTTATACAGATATAAATGTGCGTGTCTTTGTGAGTTACAATAATGGCTTCCGTACTAAAACTTAGAGTTTCTAGAAAACATAGGGTTCTTATAAATTAAAATCCGAAACATGGCTGTCCCAATAGGGAAGACGAGACCTAAAAATCACTATTGGCCTGCAACATACCTGACACCATCGTTCCAAGCATACGATTTATTATAACGCAAGTCACGAATTTTTTATTTATTTGCAGTATCTTTTGCAATCGTTGCAAGGCAGGATGATCACCTAGATCACTTAGCTGGTGATCTGACTAAAAAAATTGAAAATAAATTATTTTAACGACCGCGAAATTAGTTGGCGAAAATTAGAACACGTGCACGAGTCATTTAATATCGTTGCGAGCACAGGAGTGACTCAGAAACTCGGCATCATCCACAGAGTACTTTTTCTTTCGACTCACGAACCCGACGCGTCCATTGTCTCCGAAAACAATAGCGGCGTGTATCATTGTTCCCTTTATAGAGGATACGCGTCTTTTTCGTCGTTGTCACACCCTTTCCGCCCTTTTAATGAAGATCTGACCGCGTAGATTATGAATGCGTTTCCACGTGTAATATTAATTTGATCAGAGGCGTGCATTTCTTCCTACCATGCCGAGGATGTCGTGCTTGGAATGACTGCGAGCAAGATTTACAAGTTTTGTTGTGCATCGTGCCTAAATCTCAATGACCCCTGCTCTAACTGTTTCAAAATTTCAAAATTAGACTTTGAGAAATTTCAAAAATAGACTTTGAGGAATCTCCTTTTTCAGTCTCTCGTCGAACCACGCTTTTCTAATTTACTCATCATTTTCTCGCTAGTGTGCTCTCCAAACAAGGTCTCCTAAATTGTTCATCTGACTTTTTAATCTTCAAAGATATCACCATCGTATGCTAGATCCCATGTATTACTTAAAAACAGAGAACGAATAGTCGTTCGAATGGAAGAACTCGATTTACTTCTTGCGAGTTTATTCTTTTTGTACCAATCGATTCGTGCTTCGATTTTTCTTCGATCTCGGTTTTAAACTCTTTATATCTGCCAGCTGTGGCGGCTGTGGTTTCCGGTAGATCTGCCACGGTCTAAGAAGAAGACTAGAAATTTTTCCAACGATGTCAGGAGTTCTACCAAGGTTGCGTAGCTTAACGAACAAATCTTCGAAGTATAGTACCCGTCCGCCATATTGGATATTGCAAATCGTGCTTAAGCGATACGTACGTGGTACCGGAACGACGTGGTACCCGGCAAAAAGGAATTAATGGGCGGAAGTTTATTCCCGTTCTTATCGTCGTAATTGGATCTATATAACACTGCGAATAGTTATAGCTGGTTAGAGCGATTGTTTGATTACGTTCGAGGATAAATATTTATTAATCGCACGGCGATTATACGTATTATATACATTAATCGGAATAAGAGGATAATTTCGATCGCTCAAAATTATTTCTCCTCTTCCATATATTTTACACAGCCTGCTAGTTGTCGACGAGCCTTGATACAGATCGTATCCACGCTGGGTAAATTGATTTTACAACACCGTTTACGAGATTTATTTTGAAGATGATCCTAGACGTCCGATTTCCTGTTCCTTAATTGCCGCAATGAAAGTGCCAGTAATTTTTGCCACAGTTCGAATTCCCAGAAATCCCCCTCTTCCCTTCCACCCCTCTCCTATCTTTCAGCGAGCGTAATGTTCTTAACCGGTTGACATCCGGCGGAAACTTGAATTCCCAGGTTTATCTGTTACAAGCTTCGAATCGTGCATAGCGATAAAACGCGGCAAGGGCGCGTTTACTGAAAAAGCAACCGCGAGATTCGCGAATGCAACCAAGCGATAATTAAGTTCGGATGCATATTCGATGACTAAGGAACCAGTTCACACCATTAATTTCTTCAGTTTTTTCCACGAAAAATCGCTGCCAATTTAACCTCGTAGACACGGTGCGCCACCTATAGTGGCTTTCACGGATGCCATCTTTCCGATCGACGCGCCACCTACATTTGAATTAAATGATTATTTCCATATCTTTCGTTTCGTGCTTTGTTTGCCTTCACAACGTTTTATAATGGTACTAACAATATATAGAGAATATACAGTCTTTGTTTTTGATACGCCAGTGTCAGTTTTGAATCGTTGCTTTTCATTTAAATAAATATACCATTTGCTCTTACTATACTAGATGCTCTTTTTAACATACCGATTCGTATCTGTATAATTTTTTAAGACAGTATCGTCTGTCACACGTTGCAGTGCTGTATCGTTTACGCGTAATTCACCGTACAGAGAAACAGCACCGCGTAAAATTCAGCCGTGCCTAAGAGGTTAAGGGTAAGAAAATTCGCCATTTAAAGGCTGCAACGTCGCGTTCTTCTGGTGGTAACTTCCCGTGGTCGTTATCCAGGATGAGAACGGGGTTCCTTCGAACGGGATGGATTCGATGGAAGGGAGAAAAACAAGATGGTCGGCCGATTCGATGATCCCGTTTCGAAAGAAACCCGGCATATCTGACGTAATAATCTGCACGAGTTGCATGAAAAGCACCGAGCTTAAAACGAATTCCGCTAATGACCGTCCGTTTCCTCTTCTTTTGCAGATGCGTGGCTGGAATGGCAGAAAAGTTACGCGAGGCGGCCGCACGTGGCGACGTAGCGCGAGTTGCGCGACTCCTTGACGAAGATATTAAACCATTGCCGGACGAGGTGAGTGTTTTTTCCTGTCATTCTTCCCTTTACAGTACACCACCACATTGCCTCCTAAACGATCATTCAATTTTTTCCACCGAGGTATCGGACGGGCCGCTAAAAACCATACCGCTGTTTCTGGAAACGGTGAATCGATTTTTAGGTTATGTCTTGGTTGTTATTCGTAATAAATTCTCTCGATTCTTTCCATTTTTGTAAATCCATTTTGTATCGATTAGTCTAACTTACAGGATTTACTTGTTAACTCTAAATTATTGCCTGCCATTTTGTAGAGATTTATACAAATTTCGAGTAGGTTAAATTGGAAAATTGAAAAGCATCGCTGTTACGAATTTTAAAGGTTTAATATGAAATTAATTGTTGCGTAGAAACATGTATAATTACATGATATATGACGTAGAGCCGGTCAGATATTTTCTGTGTAATTTTATACACGATATAAGATGAAACTGTAAATCTCGTTATCAAGGAAATCGATCTCTCGATCTGTTCTTTTTTTGTTATTTTACATTGCTTCTTTTCGCGATAAAAATTTCTTGTGCGTCCTCTGCAGGCCGATTTCCAGTATACGCGAGTCGTATGCAGATCCGTTATTAAGATTAATAATTTACTTGTAATATGTATTATAACTCGCGATATTAATAAGGTGGCACAAATCATTATGATCGAGAAGAACGATGTAACATTTAAACGAAAGAAAGGCAAACACCGAGTATGTTAAGTACGCTTGGAGTGGCATAAAACTCTGGAAATTCATTCATCATTCGTCGTGAATTAAATCTCGCGAAGAATATAATAAATATTACACGCTTTATAAACGTGTAAAAGATGAATAAATACTGAATAAATTTATCGATGTGCTCAGGGAACGAGTCATGGTATCGAGATCATAATCGAAAGTAACAAGTGTCTGGACTCCAAAGAGGTCGGCTTTCCGTTCATCATTGTCGCTTTTCATTTTTTAACTATACCATTCATCATTCTTCGTAAATTAAATCTCACGAATAGTATCGTGAATATTAAATAGTAAATAAATCGTAGGCATCGATATCACGATCGATGGGAACACAGTAATAGAAATGTTACTAACGAATTCATTTTCGATACATCATCGTCGTTTTCTGTTTTTTAATTATTATATTCATCACCATTTGTAAATTAAATCTTTCGAAATATATCGCAAACACTGAATATTTGTTAAATAAATCCACAAAGCATAGGTAAATAAATGCAAAATAAACCTATGGTCATAACAATCGAAAGTGACACTCAACCCTAGATTAATCGGAAAAGTTACTAGAAAATTCGCTTTCGGTGCATTCCCGCGTCTCTGTCCATTTTTTAATTATTATATTCATCACCATTCGTAAATTAAATCTCTCGAAAATTATTATAAACAATGGATATTTACTAAATAAATCCATAAAGCATAGGTAAACAAATGCGAAATAAATCTATCGAGATAACAATGGAAGGTAACACTCAGCCCCAGATTAATCGGAAAAGTTACTAGAAAATTCACTTTCGGTGCATCCTCGCGTCGCTTTCTATTTTTTAATTATACCAAAGTCGTAGATTGATCGTGCGAGATGCTCGTTAAAGATATACGAGCACGGGAATGTAGTGCATTAATTACGCTACATATTTGCATGCGCGTTGTGACAGCGGCCGTCGGTGGGAATACGGAGAAGCGTGTTCGGTGTGCATTTGTCAAAAGATCGGCTCGCGGCCCGCGGGGCATCGTTGCCCGATTATCCGTGCATTCGTTACAATTACTTCCTCCTTAATTGCGCCGATGAAATTAATCGTCGTGCAGCCTTTTTTCACCTCGGCCAGCGGCGTTGTCCGAGCTAAAGTGCTTTATTATGCGAACGGCCGACGAGTCCATCGCGATACATCTGATCGGAGAATGCGCGGAATAATTGAAATTATAGCGATCGATAAGCAGATCGAAGGCGAAGGAAGATAGTCCTCGTTCCAGATAAAATCGCGTTCATCGAATTCTTCGAGTATTCTCAAATTACTCCAGTTTTTTTTATAAGAGCATCGATAAGAGCGGGTATTTGCACTATCTTTTATTTTTCTATTAGAAGGACATTCTTTTCCCCCCTTTTTAACAGTTCCCGTTTCAGATAAAATCACGTTTGTCGAATTCTTCGGGTATTTTTAAATTACTCGAGTTTGTCTTATAGGAGCGTCGATAAGAGCGGGAATTTTGAATTTTGTTTATTTTTCTATTAGAAACACGCTCTTTTTCCCTTTCTTTAATAGTTTTCGTTCCAGATAAAATCACGTCCGTCGAATTCTTAAAGTATTTTTAAATTACTCGAGTTTGTCTCACAAGAGCATCGATAAGAGCGGGTATTGTGAAGTTCGTTTATTTTTCTATTAGAAGCACGCTCTTTTTTCCCCTTTTTAATAGTTCTCGTTCCAAATAAAATTGGGTTCCCCCAATTTTTCGGGTATTTTTACATTACTCGAGTTGGTTTTATAAATGCTTGGATTTTGAAGAGTTATTCCCCTTTTTTGTTGTTAATCTTATACACTCGAGGAATTTTTCGTTATAGATAACTGATTACAGGTAACTGATAACTCGACG